AAAAACAACCCGCCGCCGCCGTATGGCGGTATGCCACCGCGGCCATTGGAGGTGGGTCGACCAGATGACCCCTATGCAAGACGAGAGGATAGCCGGCCGCCTGCAGCCATGGAGTATAATCCTGAACGGCCGAGTTTAAGACCATACCCTTACGATGAACGGTTCCGCCCCGACAGAGATCGACAGCCAGTTCCTGAGGCTTGTGAGAGAGAAGGCAGGGAGCGAGCGTACTCGGGAGGGGCCGATTCGCGCCGGCAGCAGCACATGTCTCCTCACGAGCTGGGACATCGAGAAACTCACCCTGGACAGTCTGCTTTTGGGCGTCCGGAACACCGAGATACTCGCGATCAGTGGGGGCGACCAACTACTTCAGACCCCAGTTATAGACCACCCCTCGAGCATCAACGACCCCAACACTCAGAGTACCCGCCTGCATCTGGACCATACTCTCACCACGGGCAGCCGTATCAGACTTCTCCTCCGGATCGGTATCCGCCAACCTCGCATCCTCCTCATCCGTCTGGAAACGCGCAAGCGCCACCTTCACAGTCCCACGAGGCCGACCGAGCTCGCATGGATCAAATTCACCCTCATCCACCTCAACCTCAGGGCCCTCCCCGCCGTGAAGAACCACCACCGGCGGCTGCTGCGGGTTATGGCACTTCGCATGCCCCGTCTTTTGATTCGCCTCGTAAGGAGAGTGATGATCATCACGGGTCGAATGGGCTACAGCGCAATTTATTGGCAGTTCAAGATATCAATCGCAAGGGTCGAATGTCCCCTCTCCCGCAAGCAGTCCAAGGCGCACAACCCCAGCAGCCTGGCCCTGCGGCCGAGCCAGGCATCAAAAGTGAATTTGGTCGCATGTTCTCTGGTATTGGGAGTGGCGTCAGTGGTATCGGCATGTCTAGCCCGGTAGCCTCTTCGGCCGCGACGGCGTTCCCAAGCCAAACCTCACATCCCGGAGGTGCCAAACGCGAAGACATTGAAAGTGCCGGGGTCGACTCTGGGGCTGACAATGTCAAGGGCGCAAAGCCTGGAAGGAGACGAAAGTTAAAGGATGAAGATGCTCGTGATGATGATAGTTCTGGCAGACTTACGCCTGCAGGCCGAACAAACAAACGTGCCAAACCGCATCAGCACCATCACCACCAGTATGTTGCTCTTTTTTTCATTTTTTTTTTTTCATTTAGCTGTGAGCATCACTCGACGCTAACTGACATCTTAGTCACCACCACCATCATCACCACCATGGACAAGATTCTGTACCATCACCGACGACTGCAGCTGCTCAGTTTAAGAATCTCAAAGGCAGCACACCGACAGCTTCGCCGACTGAAAAGTCCCACCACCACCACCATCACCACCACGGCCAAAAGACCGGGGCTCCTGCGCCGGCCAGTCAGACTAAGCCTGCGCCTCCTGTCATACCACCAAAGACCAAAACAGTTGTAGCCTCCAAGCTCGTGTTGGACTCGGTCGCCAATCGCGCAAGGCATCATCTTGGAGATTTCATATACGAACCCGAGTTGAAGCCGGGCCGATTGCTTCCGAACACTCCCACACACAGAGGCTTCTCGTCGAATCCCAAGCCGCTTCCCTGGGATGTTATCAAGGACAAGGAGAATTGCATACTGACAGTCAAGGTGCCGCTTATACACCTCTCTCCTGTAGCTCGCGAGGAAATCACGGCGCGAGCCTATCTGTGGGGTACAGACGTTTATACCGATGATTCGGACGTAGTTGCGGCTTGCATCCATGGCGGATGGATCAAAGGCGAGTGGACAGACGACGTTGATACCGCCATGTTGGATCTGGAACAGGGAACAGCTGAGGGTGGTAAGCGCAAGACCAAAATTCCAACCCCAGAGCTGCCAAGTCGAGAGTCAGAAGGCGCCATCACTGCGCCGCCGCCACTGGGACCCATGGATATCCCAGCAAACCGCGACTTGCATGTCAATGTTTTGATCCTACCTCGACTCGTTAAATACTCGGGGTCTACGCGGTTTGGTATTTCTAGCCGTGAGTTTGGAGGCCAATATGGCGGCCGACACTCGGTCCACGATGGCCTAAGTTACATGATCAAAAGCATTCGATGGGTAGAAAACGGTGCACAGCCCCAGGCAAGGCTACGCGGCAAAGCCAGGAGAGAGCGTATGCGTAAAGCAATGAAGGAGGTCACAGCTAGCTTTGGCAACATCCACGGGCTTGATGTGGAGCAAAGCAAGGACAATGCGTCGCCCCTAAGAGGCGATATCATCGGCAACTGGAGGAAGAAGGACCAGCCGGATGCGCCCGCAGAGGCCGTGAACGACAAGCCGGACCAAGAGCGCGCAACCAGCGAGGGAAACAAGGAGAACCGCGTAGCAACGACGCAGCCTGGGAACTCGGAAGAGCCAGCCAAAGAGACGAAGAAAATGCCAGACCAAGATGTCGAAATGACGGAAGCAGGGGAAGGGAAGAAGGAGTCGGATATTGTCGAAGAAAAGTAATCATTTTTTTTTTTCAGCTTTGATTTCGTCTTGCGAGAATTAGGGATACCTAGAGGATGGCGTCTGGATAACGTGTTTATCGAAATATTCGCAAACTGTAAGAATATCGGTCATCAAGGAAGCAAAGCGACGATGAGGAGGAGGCACATGTGGCATGCCCGGCAGCCTTTATTGTACAGTTTAGTGTCGCGTTATGGTACATGTATAACGAGGAAACGCCCGCCCTCTCAATTCAAATCATGATTAATTAAATGCCGCACCATCCGTCTGTATGATGCCAAGGGAGCCTTCTCATCCCAGTTCCCCGGGCCGTTTTCGCGACGGGTCTTGTATTCTTTCCCTCTCCGCCGCCGGTGTCTGGTGCAGTACACCCACCCCATCAAAGTATCGACAGAGTTGCTTGTTTGCTTCGGTTAAAAATCCGTCACACGCCCGTTATAGCTCCAGTCGCCGTCGCCTCCCCACCGCAGAGGCTCGTTCTTCGGACCACCCACCTCGCCCGTCTTCGGGTTCTTGTCGCCCTCAAACTCGGGCGGTGCGCCGCGGAACAGGGCCGGATGCACGCTCTCTTCTTCCGTGAGCGTAGCCTGCGTCTGCGCCTGTTCCTGGGTGGACGGTGATTCTGCGGAAGCGCCAGTGTTTGCGGGTTGGAAGGCGGAGGAGACGGCGGCTTCGCGTTGGAGACGCTCGAATTCGGCTTGCTCCGAGGCGGGGAGCTTCGGGGGCGCGGGACGGGTTTGGAAGGATGAGTAGGTGCGTGCGCGGGATCCGCGGGTGAGGATTGCGCGCAGGGGCCGTAGACGTTGCATTGTTGGGTTCTGCGACGATTTCGTCGGGCTGTCGTGGTGCTGTTGAGTTGTGCTGATGGGTTGGAATCGGAGTTGAGGAAGGCGAATGTGCTCGCTTGGATTGATGGCTTTGACGAGGCGCGGGATTGGTTGAGGATGTCGTGTGTGGGGCCGGGAGTCGGCTGTCACAATAGCCTACTTGGGACCTGGCGGTTCAGTTGTTCGCACCAGTTGACGGGTTAGGCTATAGACAGCCCCGACCCGCCACCTGTTCGGCATTGTGCCTGGTGAAGTTCACAAGCTGGACAGACATCAGTGTAGTGCATGGATTTATGCGCTGGTATGAAGCCAGTCAAACTCTGGTTGTATCCTGCTACCTACTGGGTGACCTCTCCCGTAGTATTTAGGTGTAGAGTCCACGGTATTAAGATGGCGACGGATGAACGTTGGCTCATTGCCATTTACCCTTATTATCCGTCGGGTAACTAATGAGTGGAGCGTTTGGAACTACGGGGATTTTCTTCATCCGGTGTACAAGATTCTAGAAGCGTCGCGAAACCGTAATAAATACACGTTTGATGCGAGAAACTCTCTATGGTACCTTGTGCGGGTTCATGGATTCATTCCATCCAAGTGGTGCCTTGGGTTATAGCACATTGGGCCCCGAGACAGTGTGGACCAGCGAAGTGATGGTGATGGCAAACTGCCCGCAGCCGGGTACCTGGTCCCGCTTCCTGTTTCAAGATGCGATATGAGTGACGCACAGCGATGACGGATGAGCTAATTGCCAGAGTCATCATGCTGGCTGCGTGAGATGTGGTGCTGGATTAATAGACGTCTGTTAAATCCAGCATCACATCGCAGAGATGGCTCCATCCACGTTGCCTCTTGAAGACAACAAAATGCCGCCTACTTCATGCGTGCCTGCCTAATGACGCTAGCTGCTTACTCTTAATAGTATAGCGTCTGGTCTTCATAGCGGCGAGGAGGGTGCATGCTGCTGCTCGAACCTCGAGCATGTCATCACACTTCGAGTTCTCTCAGTCAAACGAAACGCTTGGCGCACGCAATGGTGCCATTGCGGTGCTCTCCTCTCAGAACACGTTTGGTGTCGCGGAGACAGGACCACCCGGTACCTCAATCACACGTTATTGGCTTAAATCTATTCGGTCGAGCCTCATCTGATTAGCTGACGCAACACCACCTGGAGTTACTATCTGGTGCCCATCACCTCTTTGGCGACCGAGAGCGCAACTCTGCCTACTCATGATGCTAGCATCGCCAGAATCAACTCCAACGTCTTGGTCCCGTCCACCCACCCCTGCTAGTCTTCCTCGCCAGAGTCACCACGCTTGATGCCACCCAGGGATCTCCTTCTTGACATTTTGGGCCCGCCCGCCTACTTGCAACATCACTGCCCATCTCAGCGATGGCGGCATCAATGTGTCGTATCACAGTCCTGGTGTCAACCACATGTGCGCCAGGAAGTCGGTAGCCGTCAACTGGTCCCTCTCAACACCATATATTCTTGCTCCCCAGCGAACCAGGCTACTTCTATTTTCTTTTCAAAGCTCTGGCAATACTACGGTGTTTGAGGACTCACAAAGACTCAGAACTCACTACGGGGTATCAGAGTTAATAGTAGGCATTGGCTCTTATATTGCCTCTTTATGCCCCAACTCACTGGCCTTTGGCACACGGATCCTACGTTTGCACGGTTTCATCAGCTGGTCTCTTCGGTATCAATGACGATGGACATGGAAGTGAAGTAGCTTGGTCCTGAGAGAGAAGCTTGAGCCTATCTGCCTGCCACTTTAGGCCCGTACACCCAGAAGATTGGTCCATCCAAACGAGTTTTTGATGGCACTCATTGAGTTGCCTCGACGCATGAGATGGCGGCTAAGTCAATATACCTATGTATTTGCTCTTACAGCCACATTTGCCGCTCTCGACGCTTGGAACATCGGTAGGCATCTATACAGGCGTGTCAACGCACAGGGAACAAGACTTCTGAGCTAACATGCTCAGGTGCCAATGATGTCGCCAACTCGTTCGCAACGTCAGTCTCTTCCCGGTCTCTGACCTTGAAGCAGGCCATGGCCTTGGCAGCTGTCTGTGAATTATCTGGAAGTGCAACCGTCGGCAGTCGAGTAGCTGATACGATCCGCACCAAAATCGTCGACCCTCACCAGTATGACTCCTCGCCTCCAGCCCTCCTGCTCGCCATGATGTGCACAGTGTTGGCAAATTCGACTTTCCTCACCGTGGCCACACGGTATGGCATGCCGGTTTCCACTACGCATGCCATGGTTGGCGGGCTGGTAGGCACAGCCAGTGCGTCCATTGGAATTCGAAATGTGAATTGGGGATGGAAGGGCCTCTCGCATAATTTGCTACCTGGGCCATTGCACCTTGCATGGCGGGATGCCTGGGTGCTTCGCTATTCCTAACCACAAAGCATAGCGTTCTTATCAAGTCGACTGCGGCGCAACGGGCCTTCTATTCCATTCGCTTTTATACTTTTCTTACTGTTGCGTCCATTACCAGTAAGCGTTTGACGAGTTGACATCAGTCAGGTGTGGGCATGCTGGAGCTGACAATGTGCAGTGCTGATTGTATGGAAGGGCATACAGATAGTCGAATTATCAGTTACGCAGGTTCTGTTGTCCGTTGGCATCGCAGCCGCTGGCGCTACATTACTGCAAATGACGTTTATCATGCCATATCTCTGGATACGAATTATGCGTCAGGACTGGACCTTGAAATGGTATCATGTCTTTCAGGGACTTTGGCTTTTACGACGACAACCACCTCCGCCGACTCCTCCTGGGTTTGCAAAGCCGCAGATCAAAGACTACTATCGTGGCCACCTGAACCCCGAAGAATTATATTGAATGCGAGCATCAGAGACATTATTGCAATCGGTGCAGAGGGGTCGACCCGAGCAACAACCCGACATGGTTAAGGATGTTGATCTTATCCCACCACCATCTGCCTTATCACCGGTGCTTTCTACTCGAAGAGAGTCTCTATCAAACGATAGGCTTATTCCTCCCAGACCACCCGGACCATCGACGAGTTTTCCCGTCATGGCCTGGAAAGCCAATCGCTTCTTCGTGGCATCGAACAAGACGTCATTGCAATGCAGAAGCGCAATGCAGTGCTAAAATGGGACATTGAAGACATACATTCTCGAGCATCGAGATTTGACTGACAACCGAGCAGAATACGTGTACTCATCACTCCAAGTCCTCACCGCGGCTGCAGCATCATTCACACACGGAGCCAACGACGTCTCAAACGCAATTGTCCGCTTCTCAACTGCATACCAAGTGTGGTCAACAGGGACCATCCCCGATCTTGTCAATATTCCCATTTGGGTGCTTTGTTTTGGCGGTGGAGGGATTGTGCTCGGCCTGCTGACGTACGGGTACCACGTCATGAGGACATTGGGTAATCGACTGACGCTTATTTCGCCGAGTCGAGGATTCTGTATGGAACTCGCCAGCGCCGTTACTGTCCTCACGGCGACCAAACTCTCGCTGCCTGTGTCCACGACCCAGTGCATCACAGGAGCCACGGTGGGCGTCGGCCTGGCAAATGGAGATTGGAGATGTATCAATCCGAGGTTGGTGGGATGGATATTCTGGGGCTCGTACATTACCGTGCCAGTCACGGCATTGATATCCGGCTGTCTGATGGGCTTGATTCTGTATGCACCCAAGTGGTGAACTTTATGTTTCGAGGTGTGGAATTCGCGTTCTAGGAATGGAATGACATTTGGAGTTAGGAGTTTAGAGCCAGTGTTTCTCTGGGACAGCAACGGTTTTTTTTTTTTCCGAAGTTTCAACGTGGCCCGTACAAGGAGCTAGGATGTATTGATATTAGAACGCGAGGGACAGACATGAGGTTCTGAGGTATGAATATGATGTAAGATATAAGTTTATAGAGCGGATAGAAGACAAAAAATAAGACACGATTGATAAAATTGGTAAGTAAATTTTATGAAGTGAATTTCTGAGAAAGACGGTGGTCATGGAAGTGGAAGTGAAGTTGTGAGATGTATTCATGCATCACTGACCGGTCGCGCATCAGCTTAACGCGAGCCTGCGACTTTCAAGAGGAGCGTTGAGAAAAGGACTTCCACAGGTGGGACTAGCAAGGCTTCGGTGCTACAGCAAATCGACTCTATTGAGGCTGCTGTGAGCAAATGAAAGTATTTACCAAGGTATTTGAAGGCGTCGTAGAATTTAGGCGAGGGGTGGATAATGGAAGTTTACATGATTTGCTGGACAAGAGCAAAAAAGAAAAAAAAAAAGAAAAAAAATAATTACCAGATAATATAAACTCGTTAAGGCTATCTGATAAACGCTCCATCTCGTCTTAACCGCTACCTTGATGTGTTCTATAGTGTGAATGCCACAAAACTATGCTTCTAGTTTTATAGGGGCTATATATGGGGAATACGTATAATAGCTGCAGTCATTATTCTAAAACGATTCTTCCTTCGGTTCTAGCCTTTAAACACGGCGGAGCATGGAACAAGTGCCCTCTCCTCGAACGTAAGAACATGGCATACAGGATGCCCGAAACATACACTGCCGTAATACTTATCAACATGGGCCACTGAAACTGATCTGGCTTGGAGAAGGCGATTGTAGATGCAAAAGAGAGAAGCTCAAAGAGGTTCTGGAATGTTGCTTCTGCCGTGGAAAACGACCCTCGGTGGGTAGCTTCGACTTCCTGTTTTTTCGTCGAGAATCAGAACCAACGAAATCCTTGAACTTGGACATGATGATTGGCTTCTTCACCTCTTGGACTATGCTCTGCGCGCAAAGATCATAGCCCCAAAGACCCAGTCGGCTAAAGGCCACGCAGATGGCCATGACTGTTGCGGACATAAAGGCATCGCTTGCGCGCTTGTTCACGTCCACCATGTACCAACACACGCCGATTGCCAAACATGCCATCTGCCAGTTCAAGCTCCACAACCCACCCCGTATAGGACCAATTCTCCCAATGAGCTGGGGCGCAACCCACGTGGCGCTCAGTTCGACAATGGTGCTGCCTGTGCGGGCGATGCCTACATGCAACGGGGTGTAGCCGACCGACATGAGGTATGTGACCATTTGGCCGGAAAAGGAGAGGACTGTGAGATGAAGAAGAGACAGGGAGAAGGAGGGGAGGAAGGCGGGGTGGCGGACGTAAAAGGGGATCGAAGACAGAGGGAGGATATTTGAGATGAAGGACGTGAGGCGTGATGGCGCCCGCTCATCCTCCCCTCGGGTGGACGAGGCAATTTCCTCATCGGCAGACACTCGCTCGAGGGCCGGAACACTCTTGTATACCTGCGGCTGTGAGAAGCAAAGGCGAGACGCAGGGCTCGGGGTCGACGTACCCTCTCTATGCAGATGTACTCGATGAGAACAGAGGCCACGTTCACGCCCAGCACGGTCCAGATTGCGATGACGGTAGACGCCATTGCGACGAGGGATATGACAAACGGCCCGACGAGTTTACATGCGAGGTCAATACGGCGAATCCTCGCATTCATCACTGTCGCGGCATACGTCTTTTTAGAGATTTCTTTCCGTCGGCATTAAAAAGAGCACAACGTACCTCGTCGCCAATCCTCGTCCCCCTCCGTCATGACAACAACCTACACATGTAGCTGAATGAGCAACCTCGACTCCATTCAACACAGAAAAGGGAAACGTACCCAGTCTCTCTCGACGGCGATTGTATTCATGGCAGCACACAGCTTCTCGACGCACGCCAACGCCACGAGCAGCGCAAACAGCCCGTTTACGCCCGTCACTCCCAAGGCCCGCATGCGCAGCTCGATGAGCAACAACACGCCGCAGCTCCCTGCCACGGCGAGCCTCTGGCCCAGAATCGACACGCGCACGACGCCGAGTCGATTCCCGCTGTCGATCCATGTGCCGAGCGGGTGCGCGAGGAGCATGGCCGACAAGCTGCGGACCAGGGCGTAGATGGACATGGGCGAAAGCGTCGAGGGGAATATCGATGCGAGGAAGAGCACGGCGCCAAACTCGAAGAGCCGCGAGTTCCACATGGACAGGAAGTGGGAAGTGTAGAGTTGCCATTCTATGCGGGCGCGGCTGACGTCTGTGTTGCTGTTGCTGTTGCTGTTGCTGGGCGCGAGAGACTCATGGTCGTTGGATTGAGGCATCTCTCATGCGAGTGAGTCCCTTTAGCTTGGAGGAAACTGCGATGGGCGAGTGCCGGAAGACGGCCATGGGGCGGGAATGAAGCTACAAGTTGTATGGATATGCGGTCTGCGGGCGACGGCTGCGCGAAAGTTGTGGTTCGACTCGGATGGAATCGATCCGACTTTGTAAATCGACGGCAACAAGACTGGCGCTAATCAGCCGTTGGAGTTCCGAGGGTGGGAACACCCTGATATCTGTGGCTTGCGGGTGGCACCTTTTGGGTATAGAACGATCATTTGTCATTTTTGGGCAAAATAGGGTGTCGAATGAGTCCATGTCTAACTTTATTGTCCATGTTACTCTATGCTCGCAGGAATGCAAACATGTCTGCTCTTCTAATAACCGCCAAACACCACCGCTGAGAAGACACCCATGAACTAATACGTGTAGTCCATGGTGTCGTACTTGCTCTTTGCGCGAATCTTTGGTCCGTACCTGAACAGGATCCAGGGGATGGGCAGCAGCGCCAGAGAGAAGAAGCCGAGGAGGCTGCAGGCCCAGCCTATTCCGAGATTATTATACACTGGTTTTTTGCGTCAGCAGCTGATTTCACAACCTCTCAACTCGGTCAAAGAATCAAGCCTACTTTGGATTGTAAACAGGGGGAATGCCCCGGCAAACCCGTATCTAGCCAAGCCATTTGCGCTCACAGCGCTAGCTATCACACTGCCATGATACGCATCACCAATGTACTGCACGGAGCTGACAAACACGCAGAGGTTCCCCCATGCAAAGGGGAAAATGGCAACGGCAGGGCTGGCCCAGCTGACACTTGCTCTCGCCGACCACGCGTACCAAAACAGTCCAACGGGAAGACCCAGGCTGCCAACCATGGCCGGGTAGAGACGCTGTTCAGGAAGCGTTTTGAGATGGGGGTGCAGCGCCAACTTCTTGCGGTAGATGAGGACGTCGCAGAGGATAATGGTCAGGAAGCCGACGAGACACCCAGCCGCAATGGACAGGAACACCAGCCCGGACGACTCGAGGCTGAAGTGGTACACGAGGCCAAATGTGTAGGGCACGCCGGCGAAGAAGCTGAAGAGGATACCAAAGTTGACCGCCACATAGAAACACAAGAAGGTGACGATGGGCTCGGCGAAGAGCATGTGAAGGGGGCGAATGACGGCCACACGGGCAAACAGCGAGAGTCTGGCCCGCAGGGGAACCTTGGGAGGCAGCTTCAGGCCCTTTTTTTTGGCGAGCCGGCGTTTGACAATGGGGTGGAATGTCTCGCGGACAAAAGGCAGCTGGAGCATGCAGAAGATGGCGAAGAAGATGAGCGTCCACTGCGTCCACCGCCAGTCTCTTCTACTAACGAGGAATGAGCCCATGACGGGTCTTGACAAGAAAAGAAGGAAAGGTCGACTGTTAGCAAGATTCCATACATGGATGAAACATGGTGGCCGCAAAGTTCAACGTACCCGAGCCCCGGTCCTAGAAACGGCATCAGCACAAATACCGCTCCGGCCAGCCCTCTCGACTTGGGGGGGAACGTCTCGGATATTGACGCCGATGGGACAGCCAGCACAGGCGACCAGCAGAAGCCGCTCATGAAGCGGCAGAAACACAGCACTCCAAAGTTGTGTGTGAAGCCGGCGCCGAGCGTGAACAGAGAGCCTAGGGGCGTCGTGAAGACGTAGATTGGCAGGGGGGCCGCGGTCCCGGAGGGGCGGA